GGTCGGGGGTTCTGGGGGGGGGCTGTCAGGAGAGGGGGGTGTAGAGAGCAGTTGGGGCAGTCGGGACAGGGAGCAGGGAGACTTAGATAGGGGGTGGGTCCTGGGGGCAGTTAGGGTGGGGGGACAGGTAGGAGGTAGGGGGATTCTGAGGAGGGCGGGAAGTGGGAGGGGGTGGGGCTAGGGCGGCACCCCGTGTCCTCTTTTTTGATTTTTGAAATATGGTAACCCTAGAAAATGTCTATTGCCTACCAAGTGGCTTGAGGTGTTCGGACAAGGCTGGCCTTAAAATGTTCAGGGAGGTGTGAGCAGCAAACTTAACTGATTGATTTTTAAATAAAAGAGGATGTAGAAGAATTTCCTTTTTCTCTCCTGTTTTTGAAAAGTGGCATTTGCTTTCCTATTATCTTTTCCCCCCTGCCCCGTTTCTGTTTGCTATCTTGTTACTTCCTTCTTGCACCCCTTTTAACTATCTCCTGTATTCCTTTCTCTCCACAGTCCACTTTTCCACACATGGTGGTTCTACACATGGTTTTTCCTTTCCCCTCCTCTCCTGAAATGGGCATTCATCCACCCTTCCTGACACATTGCTGCTGTTTGACTTGTTGAGCTGGATATCTCTTCTTCCTCACACATTTTTTCCCCTCTTTTCCTCCTCAAAAAAACCCCAATGTTGCCATTCTAGGGAGAGAAGCAAAGGAGCTAATGAGGGCAGTTTACAAAGTAATCTTTTTCTTTTTCTCAAAATATATATTTAATTGTAGGTAAAATATGATTAACTCAATATGGTCAAGTAACATAGAAGAGTCACTTGTTTCACAGAGGATCATTTAACTCTTTCTAGTGGTGACTACCAATAAACAACTAAGGGGCTTCTACCTTTTGGATATTTTAGGATTCTCTTGCAGGTGCCATTTTGTCTTAATGTGTAGTCCAAAATCCAGCTTGTTTGCATTAATATGCTAATATCTATTTCTCTTCTGTTAAAGTATTCATTAGCTAGGGACCATTTGGTTTAATAGTGTCCAGCATTGCAGTCATGGGAGCTATAGAAATGTGTACATAAATAAAACTCCTTTATTACCTAACGTCTCACTCAATGCCCTTTTGTCCATGATTGCAAACTTGAATATTTCAAAGAAAAAGTTCTCTACTTGATTCTGATGCAAATCAATACTTTTCTGCCTTTTTCTTCAGGCTCTCGTGAAGCATGTCCAGTCAAAAGGATACCCTAATGAACGTTTTGAACTTCTCACCAACTTCCCTCGAAGGAAGCTTTCTCACCTGGACTATGACATCACATTGCAGGAGGCTGGCCTGTGCCCTCAAGAGACTGTCTTTGTGCAGGAAAGGAATTAGCACAATGGCCTGAGCTCTCCCAGCCTCCCTCCCCTCCTCCTCTTTGCCTGTGATACCAACGCACTAAATATGCAGCTGGGCTCATGGGATCACCGAGCTGAAATCAGGCAGGCAGGCATTTGCCACATCTCCCTCTTCTTCCTTTCTCCTAGTCTTGTGACCAAATGAAAATGCTAAGATATGAGCTTTCCCAGTTTTGGGCTTGGAAAAATCATGCTCTAATTGTGGAGAAACATGCCTCCTACAACTGCACATCCCTTTCTCCGAATAAAAGGGTAGTCTGTGCATCCAACATGCTGGGGTTAGGGATGGCCATAACAAACAGATATTTCTCACCGCTACCCCTAAAAAAAAAATCTATTTTGTTAATATATTTTATTTTTATTGAGAAATACCATGTGACTAGGCACTGAGTTGTCTCCCTACACAGAGAAATTGTAATTTGCAGTAGAGTTTTTCTTGGTTTTGGTTTTCTACACAAAAGGTCTTCATTAACCTTACAGCCATGTGAGGATCCCTTTTCATGTCCTTTGCAGAATACTGATTTGCTGAAAGGATGTGGTGTGAGCTATGTTTAACAATTCAGGCTGGGCTTGGTAGATTACACATGCATATTTTTCCCTCTTTTCCTGCTGATGAGGTGACATCTTGTTTTAAGTGAGGGTTGACCTGCCAGGGGATTTGGCAAATATTTAGCATGCCTGATATGGGAATTGGATGCTTGGTCTGGAGCTGAAACCTCCTGTTTTCATAGTTAGAACTTACCTCCAGAATCTATTCTCTTATTCCAAAATGTGGCCTCTTTGTTGTCAGGACTTTATTGGTGGTGGGATATTGTAAGAATCTCAAACTTTCTGTAAAACTTTTGCCATCGTACAACTTAAAAACTAATTTGATTCTTTGTTTCCTAGGTAATTCACTTTCTTGGGGCAATAGGGCTTTCACAAAGCAGTCAGGCTATAAGATAAGAAAAGTAGGTTCTAGTGCTGAGGTTCCTTTTATTATAAATTATATATATATATAAAAAAACCTGTCATCCCACTAATTTAGAATGATCATTTTATTGGCTCACATCATCAGGGTGACTTGAACTCTCTGGGCTATTTGAGAGCCTGTTATCCCACTTCCCAGTTGGAACTGCAGTGAAATATATAGAATTGTATCTGTAACAAAAGTTTTATAAGTTGTGTAAAGCAACAGTAACTAACTTGTGTCAGTATGATTTGGGCTTTATATCTCTCAAAGCTATAAAAACTGTCAGTGTAAGCCATACATACATTATGACTAAGGAATCAGTTAACCAAACATACAATGCAACGTACAGTGCAGCCAAGTAGCTTTTTGCACCATGTACTCTTTGTCCCCAGATACTTTACCCTGAGTCTGAGCCCAACTGTGTTCAAGGATTTACAGAAGACTGCAGTGAGACAAAACCATTTCATTGCTAACTCATCCTTTTACAGACACCAGTTCTGATGCAGGGTGTTCTTTTGTAACTGATAGTTTGTGTTAGCATATTCTGCATTTGTGGCGGAAAACAAGCTGCTTCACGTTGGACATAAAAATATAGGGTTAACTTGAGAATCCGACAAAACTGGCAGTTTGTATAGTGTGAAAGATTAGCCCCGCCCCCCAATGCCAATGGGCTTCATTGTGTTTGTCAGGAAATCTTATTTCCTTGCATCAGTGTCAAAGAAAAGAATTAATGCTGGCAATAACTATTTCCAAGCCAGAAAAGAACCCTCTTAGTGAATGGCTAGGAATATAATGTGGGTTAAAACTTTTCAAGATACTTTGCCTTTAATTTCACTCCAGGCTGCATTCCTACATTAAAGGATGTTACATGGGAAATCATGGCAATGACCCAGTTTATTCCTTATGGGTCTTTGCAAGCTAACTGTCCTTTGCCCTTAAAACTGAGAGTTCTTATATGTAATTATATATAAGTATATTTATATAATGCTTTATGAATGGATGATTTGACTAAAAGCACTCACATTGCTACCACTTTTTGAGTTCTGCTCCAGAATACAAAAGCCAGTTCTGATCTCCATTCCCTGTCCAGTAGTTGAGTCACATCAGAGGTGACATGTTGAGACTGTAAAGTGCTAACTGATCATTGCCACATTGTTCTCAAAGGGGATTATTCCTCCACTATACTGACCTGAGAAAGAGAACTGCAACAATCAAAGAGAAAGGGAGTGCACTGGTGGTTGTGGGTGAAGGGAAAATGGTGCTTCTTAAATGGAGGATCCTCTGAACCACAAAATACACAATTCCTACTTGGCTGTGTAGGGAGAGGGTAGCGGTAGTCTGTATCATTTAGTTCTAAATGCTTTCCTGGGCTTCCAAGGGCTAATTGAAATTATTAACTCTGACACTTGTGTGCATGAATCTGTTTGCACCTTCCCAACTGGTGAATGTCTGAAGAATCTGAGGTTTAAGAACACCAAGATTCAGTATCTAGCATTTCTCCATGGGGTATTCCTTGTCCACTAAATTGATTAAGGCTGCAAGTTTGTGTGGCTCTCCCTCATGTCCCTTTATGTACATGGGAGCGAGGGCCTTAGCAGTCCCACTAACTCTTGTGTTAAATTATTTTTGGGTGGGGAGGGGGGGGGAAGGATGCTGATTGTTCAAAGTAATTTTCTGATTGGGTAGTTGGTCCTTTTTGACATCATGCACTCTGTTATGATTTCCCTGAATAATTCTGTACACACTTTACATTGAATGGATGGAGGAGAACTTCTCTTCCCAAACCCCATTCTTAATTAAATGTTGACTTTAGCTGCAAGACAGCCAAAAGCCATAAAAGCGCCTTTTTATTTTCTCTCCCTGCTCAGTTGCAAGGAGCTGGACTCTCTTATACTGGCCATCTTACATTAAAAATCTGAATTTGGAGTCCTGAACCAGCTTTTAATTCAGCTTTAAAAAAATTCAGCTTTATGTTAAAAGCTGCCCACCCACCTCTCAAGCAGTCTGGTCTGGCAGGGAAGCAACAATTATACTTTGAAAAGAAGCCACTCATGCTTTTTAGTGGTGGAGGTATGAAAAGAAAATCTACCTCTTATCCAGTCTGGCAGTGGTGCTCAGCCCTAGATTTTTAGCATAATGTAAGCTGAATTGGGAGCCTGCAGTTTGCTCCCAGTTCGTTTTTAGGCAAATGACAATTTTAAAAAGAGTCCAGATGTTGGACAGGGAGGGAGGTGAGGGATTTCACTTGTCAACTGCCTTTTCCTTCTACTCCATCCCCTGGCCCAACTGTATTTTAACTACTGCGTGATGAATTTCTATACACTGTCATATTCCTCCAGTGATCATTAAACTGCCATTTAATCTCCCAAACTTATTTTCATGATTTTAAGCAAGTTGAAAGTAGCCATTGGCGAGAAACGGATGAAGAAAGGCAGCTCAGCTCACTGAGTTGGAGATCTGAAGAGACAAGATGTCAAAACTCCAGGGAACCTTAAAGGAAGGAAAATATAACAATAAATATATCCATAACATACTATTTTTTCTTGTGCTGTGAACAATAGTAGAAAGGTATTTGGTGGATTAAACCCCATTCCCCAAAGAAACTGGCTTCTAATGTTTTTTGGTTTGGGTTTTTTTAAGGACGCTCACAGTGGCATGGGTCCTTAATTTTAAGTATCAGTAGCCGAGGTGGTGATCACTTATTGTACCAGTGCACACCCATTGAGAATTTTTCCTCTTAGAAAAGCGAGCTAGCTGCCTGACTTACATACACAGAAGGTTCAAATATATGAAATACTTCCTCCACTATGGCTATTTCCAGTTACATCATTTAACACTATGAGTAAGTCCTGGCAATTGTGGGCTGAATAGCTGACTGGTCATGGACTAAAACATGATCTTTGTGCCAGGCCCTCATAGCTTGTCTCTTCCCAAGAAGCGGTTAGTGCTTGTTCTGGTTGGGTCCTTTATCTTTCAGTTCTCTGCATCTCTGCCAAAGTCCCAAGTTCCCCCATATACACATCTGTCTTTTTAAGACCCCCATTGCAAACATCAACTACACAGTATGGCCAAAGCATTGTAGTTCGGACTCTCAAGAGTCAGTCATAACTGTAATCGGCCAGAGAGGCTCCTGTTAAGAGAAATCTTCTCTCCTCAGTCTGAACCTTAATGCATTGCCTCTGACAGTCCTAGTCTTTGAAGGCTAGAGGAGTGAGACTGGGAATCTAACCTGGGATCTACATAGAACAAAGCATTGACTGGCAGGAATGTAAGCTGGCCTGGTCAGAGGTTTTTTTGTATTGCCACAGAAGGTGCCGTGTAAACAAAAACTTTGTCAAATTGTTTCATGACACTGAGGCTGAGATGCACATTACTTTGGAGTGGGCTGGGGAAAGGTCTCATATTGCAAGGGAAGGTGGTGATCTAAAGGGCTAGCAAAACAAATGTTTGGAAGTGGACTTGATGTGTAGCTTGATGCAGGACCCTTAACCTAAATGACTGGGTTGTTTGGTCTCACTAATGAGTGCTACTTTGTTGGGTTGGTCATGAGGAGTACTAGGGAATAGAGGTGTGTTTATAGAATGGGAGTCTGTATCTTAGGCAGATATGGGAGGGAAGAGCCATCTCCATTCTCTCAGGTTAATAATATTTCAAACTCTTATGTTTTGAGTTGTAGTTCCTTTTTTTTTAAAAAAGGAGCAATTTGCCCCACATGTTCCATTTGTTTTGTTTTGCTCTCCAACTCTGTTAATGCCTTGAAAATTAATCATGAGTATTGCAGTTAATCGTGACTAGGAGTTGACGTGTACAGTAGCTTCATAAACATCAGTTCAAGAGAACATTGATTTAAAGGATGATGATATTGGTTAATCCCTACTGAGGAGGAATTTGAGATGCGTGACTCCCAGGATACTGGGAGCTTTGGCCCTCTTATAGTCGTCTCCTCCACTCCCGTGTAGAGCGAGCGATCACCGCTGTGCTAGGTTTCCAGACACAGCATATAGTAAAGCAAGCTGACCGAAAGCTTCAACCTTGCAACACACTTTGCCCAGAGGCAGTGAGGGCCTGAGCATAAGCCACTGGGAGTTTTTCCACTGGCTTCAGTGAGCTTTGAATTAGGACCTAAAAGATTGGTATTGTACACTCACATCCTAAGCTTTGCGTCTGGAAGCACATTGCACTCCCTGGTAAATCACCAAACGTGCTCGTTCTCTTTCTTTTTGAAATTGTCTAATAGCCTTGTAATTACAGGCTTTTACAGTCTTATTTTGAAAGTGTTATTAAATTATAGTGACATAATATAGTGTTACAAAGGGTGTCAGAGTTATCGGGAGTTGTTTAAACAGCATTTCCTTAGCTGTGCTACATCAAAGCTTTTCAAAAAGAACCAAATCTGCTAGTCTGTTAGTACAGTAGAGTGAAAAACTTTGGGGAGTGAGGGATGGAATCCATTGCTAACCAGTGTGGATAGTTGACTAGAAATTTAGGTGCCTGTAATTTGTTAGTATTGTAAATACACTCAATTGCATATAATTCTGCCTTTTTCATCTGAGATACAGTAATGCATACAAACTTCTACTTCTGCTATCATGGTTTATGCAGTTGCTAGAAACCATTTGATGAAATACAGCTTTGCCTCAGACACTGGTGCACAATTTTAAAAACTAGCGATGTAACGAAACCCTCACTGTCTTTCTGTTTCAGTAGACTTACCCACATAGTTGTGCAGACTGCAGTTAAAATGGGATTTATAGACTGAAAGGAACAACTCATCTCAATGTTCCATATTCTCCTTGTTACTTCCCCATAATATTTATGCATTTTACAGAAGTTTGAATGAGCTACATAACTGACAGCACTAAGTACTCAGTCTGCTCAGAATACAGCTTTGTTTTAAGAGTATAATTGACATCCTGAAATCTTAATTTTTTTTTTTTTAAAAACCCAGCTTGCCCTTCAATAGCAATATTGGCCTTGCATGTCTGACAATACTCATTTTTGTTATCAAACCAAACAGATTAAATATACCAACAGTTGGGTGCTAGTACAGTATAACTACCTTTCACCTTTTCTGTTCTGAGTGTTCAATCTGTAGAGCTCAAACAGAACTGCATATGTAGCTATGTGGTACAGCCCAGTGGATTCCCAGTTGAATGGTATATGACCTTCGCAATCAGTACTGTACATGACTAATTGGTGACAGTGATGATTAGAATGTAACTTTTGGGGTAAGAAGTCTGTTTCTCCATTTGTTGTGTTTGCTCTTTCCAACTGGAGTGCTGGGTCCACTAGCACTGAAGGACCATAAAGATTCGATCTACAAATCATCATTTTTCTAGGAGGAAAATAAGGCACCACGTGAGAGAACTCATTTGTCTTCTATCCTTATTCCAAATGCCAAACAATGTAAAGATGAATACAAATAGACAAATGATTAATGCTATTCATGTATTGAGGTTAGCTGAAAATTTGTTACAGAGACTTTTCTGGGTGAAACTGGATGTATCCTTTGAGACGTCCCTTTAGCAGTTATCCTTGTAGTGGCTTTGTGGACTAGCTACTAGCTGTTTCCCCCCTCCCCCCCCCCCCACACACTCTCTCTCTACTAC